GGGGAAATAAAAAAAAAAGTCTAGGGAGGAGAATCAAAAAAGCAAAAGAAAGACTTACAGCATTAAAAATCACGTCTATTTCGAGAAAGATGACCCCTTTTGTTGGCCCTGTCAGCTCCTTGCTTTTCAAGGCGTAGGCTTTGCGTTCTCCATTTTGGATCTGTGGGAGAGGGACATGACAGGCGTCTGTCTAGCAATACCCGGCTGAATCGGCTTCCCGGGCCACCTTTGAACCCCAGCTGCTGGCGCTGACAGGGAACCCAAAACAACTGTGGCAACTCTGACAAGTACCTGTTCATTACCCACTGCAGCTCGACTCTGTCAAACAGAAATTAACTATCCTGGGGAATCACACTGTACAGCAGAGCATGGATATTCAGACCCCCAGTTCTTTCACAAGCGGTCTACATGTATAAATTTTCAAAAATAAGAGACACTTGTCTTTTTTCTCCAAGTCGCATCGTTCCATCTCTCGATCTCTGTCACTTTCATATCTCTCCTTACCTCACTTACTTTCTTCTCACCTATCAATCTCTTCCATTTTCTCTCCTCCTGTCATCTCTTTCTCTTTGTGAAATAATAACAGTCTAATCTGTGGAGCCACAAAAATAACCTCTGCTTTTTATATCTTCCACTGTGTGTTTTTATTCTTTCTGCTCCACTCTGATCTCTATATCATCCCCAAGGGGGAAAAAAAAGAAACACACAGAGAAATTTGCCTTTGACTCACATTTAGTAAAGGAATAGCCACTTTCCCCAGGAAGTCTGCACTTCTGTCTCGGTCCTCGTCGTACACAGTGACCTCGAGTACCGAGTGGATGTCCTTCACGTTACTAGACCACACACAAAGACAACACCACTGACATATATACCAAAAAATGGGCTACAAACTGAAATCATGTGAAAGTCATTCCATCTCGCACAAGCTTATTTAAATATTCAAATGCACAAAAACCAGTTTAAATCTAAAAAGCTGTAAGAGTGTAAGAAATGCCTCATATCTGAAAACCCTCTATTACATTTACATAATGGTTAAAAATAACATTAACGCATTTTATGTGACAGTTCACTACATTACTGCACAAGCTAAGTAGAACTAGTCTGAAGTTCAGACATGTCATCTTTTGAAAACTAGGTTACCAAGAAAATGGCTGATGTTATGTATAAAAAAGAGGGTACGAGAAAGACGTGCACTCAAAGAATAACTGAATTAACCTGTCCCTTCACTGGGAATTCACAAGTTTGTACAATGGGGAAAAATGACATCATATATATACGAGATGATGTAGTGCTAGACCTACATTAATGTTTACTTATAGCCACAGTATTACTAACATTTTTGAAAGAGCATTTTATGAATGAAGAAAAATTTGATAAGCTGTCTTTTTAACTCTGCTAATGTCTTTTTGGATTTGTGTCCTCATTTATGTTCCAAGTTTGTTAATGAAAACATCAGTCCACTCTACTGTGGCAGAGTGGACTACATAATTTTTTCCATTTTCAAATTAGTCCAGAATTACAATTAAAAACAAAAAAAAAAGAGTGCAATGAATAAAAAAAAAAAATCTTTTAGTAATGAGACTGTTGCTCTGACTTTAACAATCTTTAATTTAGAAAAATGTCATTAAAAGAAATGCATTTAAATTTTTATACTGAATACAAACTTCACGTCTGTGTGCATGCAGAGATGGACATGTATTGTAAAAGCCACTCACAAAGTGAAGACCTTGTTCCACTCCGGGTTGAGGTTTTTGTAAACAGTATGCGTCTGCAGCCGATCATTACTCAGCTCCACCACACAGAATGGGTCACTCTTACCTGCCGAGCACAAAAATTAAATAAAAATCAAATAAGAATGACCTTCTTAGTGAAAAGGGACATGTAAATATAGTACATTCAATAGGTTTGCTAATTTCAGGTTTAAAAGAAAGCAAGAATCTTAATCCCAACAGCTTTTATCTCTAATCCTTCACATTATTAGGACAAATAGTGTGTAGCATCCTCCCCATATACCACATGGCAGCTCCCATAGTAATCATGCTTCTTTCATTTTTAGCTTCAGTGCTATACATAATACAACACTATTAGTAGAACAGCTGCAAGCATGTCTATCAACATTCTGGAAACATGGACAAGAAGAAGATAATCTCCAGGACAACTGTGTCCCGGCAGGCACAAGGAGGGAGGTGGGAGAGAAAAGAGGGAGAAGACTGAGAACGGATGATGATCAGAACACAGAGGGTACGGTGGCTCTGAAGGCCAGGAGAGTTCAGAGTAGAGGATAAAGACAGCCAAGCAGGGGTGTGAGAATCGTAGCTTGATCAGTAATTCCAAAGTGAGTGGTGAGACGGTAGCAGCAACGATGTGGATAAAAAAAACATGAGTAAGAACAACATGAGAATGATGAAGAAATGACAGAAAAAACATTCCCTCTTCCCTCATCACCCTCTCTGCTTTGTTTTGACAGGAAAGTAAATTCATCAAAACAGTGAAAGGCTTTTGGCACCTAAAAGATTTAACTCTTGTTTATTACAGAGAAATCACTGCTGGAGTTTCACACACTGACAGCAACACCAGCCAATGCCCTAACACAAGCCACATTTTACAGCAGTGAAAACAAACCAGGGTAAATCCAAATGCAGATTTATCCTACAGAATAAATCATTTTAAAAATATGAAATAATTCGGAGTGGCTTGTCACTGCCAAAAGATAACTTAAAAAATTAGCTATAAACTATGGCTGACTATAAATCATATTCATTCCAACAGCACTTTCAATTCAGAATTTACTATGGTTTTATAAGTGAGGGGAGAAATGAAAAAATAAACAATCACAGTTAATCAGAGTTATTTCCTTCTCCAAAGAATAACATACTGTATTATAGCACCCAAAACCTGTAATGTCCTACATATTCTCTACTTGTTTGCTAACATCTTAAATTTAATTTTCTGTGTACACAGAAATGAGGGAAACCACGTGCCCATTCCTGCCAGCATGGCTCCAACTGCCTCAAAATGAGCCAAGAACAACAAAACTCTTACTTCTGGCTTTGATCATCATCATTTTTATTAAAACTGTTGGGAGCCGTTCATCCCGGCTTAGTTGAAAAGGCTGAGTTAGGAAGTAGTAGAAGAAACTCCCAGGAAAAATGTTGAGACTATTAAAATATTGGAACAGCAGCAATGCTGCATAATAAAACTCAAGAAAGTTAGGATTGAGTTCAAAGCCCCCCCCCCACCACATTTGTGCGTGTGCTTGTGTGTGTCCGTCGGTATGTGCGTGTCACGGGAAGCATGTGTGCATGTGAGAGTCATTGATTGGTGTGATTTCTTCAAATGTTGTGACAAGGGCAGAACATTTAGTGGGTGTGCAAAGTAAATGTCACCGTGATCAATGCTGAGCCGTAGGTGTTGCCTTTCATATCTGTTTGTGGGGCTCCACTGATGTAGAGTGTTTGAAGTGGATATTGACAGCTATGACTCCTACGATATAAAACAAGATACATTAATATACTGTAGAAGAAAGACAACTGACTCCTGGGCCTGCTTTGCTATGCATCTGTGTAGCCACCCTTTGTTAGCTATATAACTTGTATGCAGTGCATATAAACTATGTTTTATATCAAAAATGAAAATTCTTCCTTGGACTCATTATACACAAATGTTTATTTTGAAATTATAAAGCAGCAAAAGTGATATTTTAGCAGTTTTCATTCAGTATTTCCAGTAGTGAAAATTTTAATCATCCTAGTCTCCCTAGCATAAACAATTATAATGTTGTCCTCACAAATCAAGTCTGATTACATTTAAATGCAATCACCAAAATTAAGAGAAGGAAATTATTTCTGCAGAACTCTGTCCTTCCCCCGTTTTCTCGCTAATATTCAGTTTTTAATGACATGGCGGGCTGTGGTGCTGCAGAGAGCCAGTTGTCATTGGTGATGAACTTTCACCTTATTGGCTGCCAACACCAGAGGCAGCTGTCTTAACCAATTACACGCTCAGGTTTGAGCGCCGCTCATCCAGGTAATGTCCGAGCAAAGCTCCTCTCCCCTCTGGGTCCCCATCTCTGTGGCGCTGGCTGAGGGTCCGGAGCAAAGAGCAGGCCCAAACTCATTTCAGGGTGCTCTAAGGTAAGTGTGGAGAATGAATACAGTACGGTGACGGGGGAGCACGAGTGCGACTGCCTCGCATGAAGCTTCGAGTTAGTGAGGGGTGAGCTTGGAAAGGGAACAGACGTTGCTGTGTAATCACAATTATGTTTCAGGCTTTAAAATACAAATCAACTGTATTTTTGTTGTATTCCTTTTTTCCTTTCCTTGAATAGCCTATAAAATATAATCTACAGTATTTCCCCATGTTTCAAAAGTCTAGACTTTATTGTCAGATTTTATCTTGCAATTTACTGGAAAAGTGTGTGCACATGGTTTAGTGCTGCTGCAGCTGATGTGTGCGTGTTACTGCCAAAATGTTCTAACAGAATAGCAACCACTCAGAGGGACACGAGCTGGCTGACAAAAAGGATTGTTGGTTTTACAGACTATTTTCAGTTATCCTACTCAGACTGAAGAGGAGCTACTTCACAAAAACACTTCAGTTAGAGAGCGAGAAGGCCAGAAAGGTGAGTCAGAGGAGGAGGAGGAACAGAAAGACAGGAGAGAGGACAGGCAGTGTGAGAGAGAGCGGTGGGGAACTCTCTCTCTTTTGCTGACCTCCTCTCCCTTTCTCTGTTTGTCTGTCGGTTTCTCTCCCACCCTGCTCCTGACCCTCTCTTGGTCTGGACTGTTAAAATAGGGTGTTCATGTGGTGGGAGCTCTTATGTGGCTCTTACAGAGCTATTGTTTCTGCCTGTGACACAGACAGACATACACACACAGAATCCGACTCAAAACAGAAATAAGCCATCTAGAAACAGACCCTTAGCTTGTTATCGATATGAGTTCGATTACTGTATCTTATCTGTTAGAAAATATTTTCTAGGGAACAAAAGACAGGTATTTCCTTTGTGTGCTCAAGAACATAAATTCTAAGAAGGTTCCAGTGGATTGTCTTTGGCTATTAAAAAAAAAAAAAAGTTTACCCACATGTGAAAACGAACATGTTTTTTCCGAATATATGAAGTTTCCCATGTGAACTTCAGCATGTGATTTTCACTTTCAGGCAAATGTTTAAATGTACATGTTTTTCTGTTATTATTTCAAATGTTCCTAAGTGAAAGCAGCTTATGCTTGGTCGGTGTAATAAAAAATTGTCCCATGTCAAAAACTAATGAAAATGCTCAAATATAAAAACAAGCGCCAAGTCCAAAAATTCACATTTGTTCTGGGCTTTCAAATCTGAATTCAACATTTTCCAATTTTGCATTCAGTCTTAGTAGTTTATTTGAAATATTAGCCCACAAGCCACCGTGTCCTTTTTACTGTACTGTGAGCCTTGTGCAATAACTTCAAATAACCACGGGCTGCAAAGACACTGCTCTAAAAATCAAATATTCTCTATGACCACAGAGACAAAGTGAAAGGCAAATAAACAGCCAATAGACATATTTCACAGCTTTACTCTTTTGATTTTTTTTTTTTTTTTTTTTTTTTTTTTTTTTTTTACAAGTATCTATAAAGCTCTGACTGAATGTTGAGTTCTACATCGAGGTCACGGAGCAAATTTCTGCTCCAAGTGAAATACAAGAGCCAGACAGCCATTAGCCCTGTGCTCCAGCTGCTCTGGTCGCTCACCGCAATAACCCAAATCAACCAGCTCCACTCTGCACTGGCTAATGGGACTGTAGCTACTTCAAATGGGGAAAACGCTACACATTCTCTCTCTCTTACACACACATTTCCTTCTCTCTACTAGATAATACAGAGTGAAAAACGAGGCCTGTCCACTGTAGACCTAATTAAAAGTAAGAATTAATGGAGAATGGAGGATTCAGAGAGAGCAAGCAGAGAAAGAGCAGGAAGGGGGAGGAGGAGGGAGAGAGATTTGTTGGGTTCAAATGTGTACTTTTTCTTCTATTATTCAAATGAGCAGCCTGTAAAAAAAAATTCAGATACAAATTTAGCATCCTGCACAAAGTAGACTTTAACGCTCAGAATTCTCACAGAGGATCATCCCTTAAGCCAAAGTGACTATCTGTGGCTGGATTTATGGCTGATTGCTAGCAGATGAAAACATGCCACAGAAATGTTTAATATCTACATGCAAAACTTGTGCAACGCTTAAACAAAAATACTCTTGCCAATTGATATTACTGTATCACCTATCATACAGCACGTTGAAGGAGTGTTCACTCTGATAGTATAAACAAACTGCAAAACAACAACAAAAATAGAGCCGTGTCACATTAAGGTGCACAAATTTGATGAGCACAAATACAAGAGTGAAGTAAATTTTGACAATATACTGTATATATGAGGTTGTAGTCCTGTTGCTTGTCTTACCTGTGACATCTGCCGCCATCAGTCCCTCCGCCCTGATGACCTTTACCTGCACCAATCCGACATCTTTCAGGTTGTGGAACGACCTCCACAGGCTCTGAAACACCACAGGAACAGGGGTGAGAGGTCAAAGAGGATAGTAAATTAGCATAGACGGGAAAGACAGGTCACCAGTCTGACATTTCATTAAGAGAGTAAAGGGTAGAATATGTCCTTTAGCAGTCATTATTTGCAAATGCAGAGCTGGCATTTATAGCCAAATCTAACAGAGGACAAATGGCCTGATTTAATTTCAATGAATATCTGCGCTTGTCTGAGATGCTTCATAACTTTGTACTTTACAATGGAACTTTACTGATTTTGGTACAGAAGATGAGCTATGCAATAACATACTGTAAATGTTTACAGCAAATAAAATAGCACAGATAAATATAAGACAAACAGGAAACATAACATGGTGAACAAGTTGGACAACATCACAGAAAATCAGATTCTTCAACTTTCCACACAAGTAAACAGGCAAGCCACTTAGTGACAGAGGGAACTGTGTTTAGTGGACACAGTGTTTCCTGTTTTTGTGTAAGGACAATGGGGAGAGCAACAAAGTGAACAAAATGCAGACAAACATTTTAACATATAGAAGCGATTCTGAGGTGTAGTACTGTAAGAATTGGCAGTATTTTTAACCTAAAGCTAATTTGCTCCCTGATGCAAACTGTCAGTCTGGATAATTTAACAGAAAATGTTGGTTAGAATTGACTTTTTTTTTTAGTGTCACTCCACAAATTGCTTTCTTGCAATGTTTGAAAAAAGTGAGATAT